GGCACTTAACAACAACAATATAAAATTAATATACAATGAAGTCTTATTTTCTTACGTAACTATGGAACAGAACTTGATCTTATTCCCTCTTTCAACATAAGTAAGATAATTAAGCCCTCTAAAACATACAAAAATCTTCTAAATATCACTTTGTTTCTTGAAACAAAGTTGCCAAACAAGCCAGAACAAGCTGCTTCTAATCCAAATTCAGGAAAATATTTTGGCAATATGAAAGAGTAGTAATAGACATCAATTTGAATTGTGAGGGATGGAGTCCTAAGAAATGGCTCCAAATAATAGTCATTAAACTCTTGTACCTAAATACTTCACATGTTGCATATGATTCTAAAATTACTCATTCACACAGCTATTTATTGATTAGGCACATTTCTTTTTCCCCCATCACAAGCAACTGTCCCTTCTTTGCTGAATCTGTGACTCCATATTTATTTTCATTTTTTCAAACAGAAAGACTGTTAATGTTGTGCAGAATCAACTGGTAGTCATGATCTAAGCATACATTTTTAATAACAAAGAAGTAAAATCAACCAAGATATGGCTACAGGACTATGACTGTTTTCAAAAAATTCTGCCATTTCCAAGTGGATTTCACTGTGAAATGCAGCATTTAAATTTTTTTTTTTAAAACAAGGTTGTCAAAATATCTGATATAAGCAAACCAGCTGTATTGAATGATTGAGCCCAGAATTATTTCTGGCTTTACTATTTGATAAATTCAGCCCCCCTCTCTCCCAAAGAAAGCACACTGACAAGATGATTTTTTAAGGAGAAATTTCAATTCTTCTTTGTAGGGACTTGTCACCATGTTCAAGCAGTTACCATCTAGGAAGAATAAACACAGCTGCACTAAACAGACCACCTAACAATTTTTTAAACAATCTAGCAAGAAAAACTCCCTTCTCAATCATTCAATGACAATACCTAAATAACATCATCATTGACTATTTAGTTTACAATCTCATTCAAAATGTAGCTCCCTTAGCCAAAGGTTGCAAGGTCTCTGAGATGATCTTATCAAAGGCTGATTTCACTCACTAAAGGTTCCTGGAATGTTACTCTCTTTTAATAATCAAGTAGCAAAAAGGAAAATTCTGCAAACTTCTATTTTAAGCTTGAATGGCTTTGTTATTAAAAAAAAAAAAAAAGACTGGTGAATATTAGGTTTCACTGAAGTATATTCCTCTGGGAAAAAACATGGAATGTTTGCACACATTTCACAGTGTGAGTTGCTTGTAACATAGGATAAGTGTCTGTCAATGGTTCTTAAGGAAATCTGCAATTACAGTTCATCTAACATTAAGTTTTCAGGAAATTAATCTAATGACAATATGAGATTGTAGAGCCCCTGAAAACTTATACTGCATCTTTCTTCTTGTTCAAATTAATGTGGACAGTTGCAGTTGTCATTTTGGGGCTGTTCTATTTCACTTGGAGATGATAATGACGACAGCAGTATATACACATAAAGTTATTATTGGAAAGACTTGCTATGTTTATACAGTAGAGAGCAAAGCTTCTGGTCAACCATAAGAGAACTCTTTGTAGGTGAGTATTTAACTATTATTTGTCAAAGGATCTCAGGAGAATTGCTAGGTACAGTACCTTACCGTTACCTATTTGTTCTCTCAATGGACCTTCTCTCATTGGGAGGCCTTTAAAGTTCCCAAGAGGATTTGTTGTTGTTGTTGTTGTTGTTATGTGCCGTCGAGTCGGCCCCGACTCATAGCGACCCCTCCTTGGGTTTCCGAGGCAGTATCACTACGGAAGTAGGATTGCCCAACCTTCCTTCCGAGGAGTGGCAGGTGGGTTTGAACCGCTGAGTAAAAATGAACATAAGGTGGCTAGAGCTATGAAGAAAAGCTGCTGCAATCCACCCCCATCCCCTAAGCACATATACACACAACATGTAATAAATGCTCTCCTCTCCTCAATATTTTTTTTAAATAAATGAAGTCTAGTTGAAATGAGTATCAAATACAATCTTTAAGAGAACCAACTATTTCAAATAATAACCTTAAAATCATCAGGTTAATGAAGAAGAGAATCTAGTGGAACTCTAAGAGAGGCAACTTTGCATTGGTGACAGTAAAGAACACTATGGGAGCTCTGGTAGTGTAGTGCCTAAAGCACTTGACTGCTAACCAGAAGGCTGGCGGTTCAAACACACCAGCCACTCCTCGGAAGGAAGGTGGGGCAATCTACTCTCATAGTGATACTGCCTTGGAAACCCAAGGAGGGGTTGCTATGAGTCGGGTCCAACTCGATAGCACATAACAACAATAACAAACAAAGGACACTATGGGCTAAGTGTTCATATATAAGCTTCAAATCTCTTTTTCAAATGATCCATCTCCCCCTACACTTCCCAACTCTCTTAACTTCCACCCATACTGAGAGCTCTCTGTGGTTAAAGACCCTTTTGTAACAAGCTTTAGGGTAATCATTGCCTTATCCTAAGAAAGCCTCTGGCGCAGTGGTGGAATTCTTGCCTTCTATGCAGGAAACCTGGTTCAATTCCTGGACAATGCACCTCATGCACAGCCACCCCACCTGTCAGTGGAGGCCTGTGTCTTGTTATGATGCCGAGTAGGTTTTAGCAGAGCTTCCAAACTAAGATGGACTAGGAAGAAAGTCCTGGTGATCTGCTTCTGAAAATCAGTCATTGAGAACTTTATTGATCACAGTGGTCCAATGTGCAACTGATCGTGAGGATGGCGCAAGACCAGAAAGTATTTCATTCCACTGTGCATGGGGCTGCCATGAGTTAGGAGCTGACCAGAGGGCAGCTAACAGCAGCAGCCACAACAACAACAAAAGTCACTGTAGCAGAGCAAGGAAATCCCAGCCCCAGAGAAAAAGGCCCCTCTGGACAAAAGGAGCAAGATTAAAGATATTCTTAGGCCACTAGGACAACCACTATCCAGCGACCCATTATCCTAATGACAGAGAAAGTGACTAACAGAGATCCGAGTCTATGTTACAAAGAGAATGATGGAGAGTTTCTCATCCATCTTTGATGTGGTGAAAAACATGTGAAACTGTTCTCCACAGATTAGAAATAAGCTCAAGTAATTACTTGCTTATTGGGTGATCCACCCTAGTCTCATCTGATATTCTGCCACATCTACAGTCATCTGACTTTCTAACTTTCTACTGAGAAATAGACTTCTATAGCTACCTCTGCACCACTGATAGTACCTTGCCTGACAGAGCCACTGGCAGGAATGCATGGCTAGATCACTGGTCTAAGATAACCCTTTTGAGAAGAACTAACAGAATGACTGCTTGTGTAATTTAACAGACAAACAAAATTCTGAACATACGTAAGGAATTGAATAGTTTCCATAAAATTTCTGTGACTCATAGTACAATATAGTTGTGCTATGGAGATGATTAAGGTGCAAGTGGAATTGTAAATCCAAAGAGTGGTCTAGAGCGTGGCTTCAAGATAACTGACAAGAGACAGAAAGAAAGAGGAAAGTGATTTGGAGGGAGAAGAAATGGTTAGAAGCTACAGAGCATGGTGCCAGAAGAATTCAAGGAAAAGGAGTCCAAAGAAGAGTTGTTCAAAAACATTAAATGCCACAAAGAGATACCAGGCAGATGTCAAATAGAGCCTGGGCAACCAAGAGCTCTTGGATAATCTTTTTTCAGCTAGACATTTCAGTGGTGAAATGAGAAGAAGAATGAGTGAAAGAGAAGGACAATAAGACTTTTCTGGACAAATAGAGGAAGGTAAAGTTGGACTGTAGAGAAAGAGGACACAAAAGATGAAAATGACTTGACTATGTATGTTTCAAGCCTTCACTTACCTCATCTGAAAAAAGGGAGTATGGTGGTGTGAGGAGACTTGGGCTGAAGAGGAGGTAGATGAATGCTTAAATGCTCCTTTAGTTCCAAAATTCTAAGTCATCATTTGTATGCCCATAGGTTTTCATGGGAATCAGATGAAGAAAATAAATACTTTGAATGGCAGCTGTCTCTTTTCTTACAATAACTGTATACTTAATCTGTAAATTACAGCTGTTTTCTTGCTACATTTAAACCAAAAAATTGGTCTTGAATATCCACCAAAGAAAAATGTATAGTCTGTCAAAAAGCTACCAAGTGACATTAAATTTCCTTAAAGAAGCCTGTCAAAATCTTCCCAACAAAGATACATACATATATATGTCTGTGTGTGTTCCCCTCCCCCAATTCTAAGAAAAATGTCCCTTCTCATTCTGATATGCTTTATAGGTATATAATTTATAGTTGGTTAAATGAAGTATTCCTATAATTTCTGATGAAGTGCAAGTGAATATTACTTAATGGGGAAAATGGCCAGAGTTCGTTTCTTATATTTTGGTCATGTTATCTGTGGTAGTTAAGGTTGTGTGTCAACTTGGCTGGGCCTGGCTGAGTGGCTGGGCAACTGGTGGTAGTTATTCCCCATGGTGAGATTATTCATTAACTTCAAAGTGGAATCTATTGGAGCAGCTGAGTAGCTGCTTTAGGAATGTGGTCTGCTTCCCATATATAAGAAACAGCTTTGGGAATGGTCTCCAGCTTTTTGGCATGTTTGAACCCTGTATGTAGCCAAGTTGTTGTTGAACAGCCTGCCATGCCCTGCTGATCATGGGATTTCTGGACTTAAATCAGTGGCCTGCCGTGTGGTTTGGTAACATTGGGACTGTGCCTTTTTACTTGTCAACCTTGGGCATGTCAGCCTCAGCAGCCAGCAGCTGTCTGAGTAAAGAAAAGCCTTCAGCTTCAGTGGGCCAGGAGCAAGAGGCAGAGCTAAAGCCCAAGATTGAGGGGCTTTTACCAGCCCTAGAGCCTAGCACTTTGACCTCGGACTTAAAGCCTCCAAACCTGTAAGATAATAAACTCCTGTTTGTTAAAGCCACCCCATTTGTGGTATATTCCTGTCAGAGCAGCACTAGGTAACCAAAATATTATCAGAAGAGACTAGTTCCTAGAGAAGGAAATCATGCTTGGTAAAGCAGATGGTCAGCAAAAAAGGGGAAGACCCTTAATGAGATGGATTGACATAGTGACTGCAATGATGGGATCAAGCATAACAAGGATTGTGAGGATGGTAAAGCACTGGGCAGCATTTTGTTCTGTCATGGGATCGCTAAGACTCGGAATCGACTAGACGTCAACTAACAACAAGAAAAACAAAACTTCTGTAATATGTTACAGCTTAAGCTCTTTGGTTAGGAACATAACTTCCTTTTTTAATTATTATATATTACTCTAAACCAAACCCACTGCCGTTGAGTTGATTCTGACCTATAGCAACCCTACAGGGTTCTCAAGGTTGTTAATCTTTTTAGAAGCAGACTGCTTCATCTTTCTCCTGTGGAGTGGCTGGTGTGTCTGAATCACCAAGCTTCTGGTGAGCAGCTGAATGTTTTCACCACCGTGCCACCAGAGCTCCTTATATATACTATTCTGGTTTATTAAATAAATGAGACAAGGTGTACACCACATATTTCAACATTGTTTAAATAAAGAGCTCCACATATACAGGCTTAGGAAAAATGTATAGTCTTTATATAACATATACTCTTTCAAGTGTATTAACAGACAGGGCAAACAGAAGCCATTTTTATATCAGTGATCAGCAATGTTTGCCATCAGTGATTACACAAATCTACAAACAAACAATAAACACCATTTTCTACAACTTGGGTATAAAAACTAGAACCTCTGCCATACTTAAGCACAAAGGAGGGAAGAAAGTTTACAGAGTTGTGACCTTTGGAACATTCGTCAGGACTGTAAACTTGATTCTTACAATCTGAGGCAAGCAACAATTCTTACTTTGACAGCTTATTCCTTTACCTAATCTACTTCTATGGACTTCTGAGAGTGTCAATCCTGGCATCTGCTTTAACATGCTAGGCATAATTTGTAATTTATTCATCAAGGGTCAGTGGAGAAAGTGTTTGTTCCTAGGATGTACAGAATTTCCTTTAGCCCATTTTAAACACACTTTAAAAAGACATTTAATGAAAATTATCCTATACAACCATCCCTCCTCCACTTTATAAAGTAGGTTATTTAAGGGAGGAAACATGCAGAAAATGTCCACATTACAATCCTACGTTACTGACGATCTCATACATTACTGTTTGGAAACACAGCCTCAATTGCGAAAGGAGTCCCTGTGTGGCACAAATGGTTAAACACTCAACAACTAGCTGAAAGGTTGACATTTCGAACCCACCCAGAGGTACATAGATGACAGGCCAGGGAATCTGCTTCCAAAAAGTCACAGCCTTGAAAACCCCACAAAGCACAGCTCTACTCTGACACACATGAGGTCGCCGTGAGTCAAAATTAACTTGACAGCAACTCACAACAACAAAAGAATGAGTGTGGTGTAATTTTCTAGGCCTTTTTGAGAAGATAAAAGCTCTTATACCTTTTTACCACAAAGGAAGAAAATAAAAGCAGTATTCTCCTAGATAGACAAAAAAGAAGAGGGCTTAGCAAACCCTATTATGTTCCAGGTAAGAAATGAAGGTCCAGCAAAATGTGGAGATGTGCTCAACGGTAGTGCAGAGGGATGAAAAGGACATCTTTGAACGATTCTCACTCCTTGAAGCCTCCTGTTTAAGTGCTCGTTGTAGACAATTTACAACATGGATCTAATTCTTTGGTCTGACTTTTCCTTGAGCAGAGAAACATCTGTGGCAGACAAAAAGCAATGTTTAAAAAAAAAAAAAATTCGATTTTTGGGTAGATTTTTCAGCACGTTACATAATCAGCTCTCTGTGTTATTTGTGTCCCATCCATGCTTAAAATTTCCCAAGTGTCTGAAGTTGTGAGAAACATCAGTTCCAACCATATGGCCAGAAAACATACATAAAACACACACTTGCATTAAAATGCAGTGGTTTCCAGCAGAATTTGGTTGCTGAATGAATGTTCATTCAAGTATGCTCTATTTCTCTGTTTGTCATAAAACAAACAATATTCTACAAGGCTATATAAGGATTTAAAGAGAGAAATGAAAAAGAATCGTTTGAAGAGAGGCAGACATCACCCATGTTAAACAAACACATTAGGGTTAATACCTTTAACCCAATAAGAAATGTTTAACTTGTATAAATTCTCTTTGGATTAGAAGCAAAGAGTTTCTCTTAAATTTACATATGACTTTAAATAGAAACTTCACATAAAGTTTACTTTTCTCTTCACTAATTTTTTTTTTTTTCCTCACTTTGGTCTTACTCAAACAGAAAACCTGAGATGCAGATTTGGAAAATAATTTCTCAATTTCTATCTGAACAGTTGGGTAAGAAACATTTCAATACTTTAATGTAACTGCTCAGAGTATAAAAATAAAATTCACAAAGGATAGATACACATTGGAGGACGTGTGTAAGGGAAAAGTATTTATTTCTTGAACATAGTCATAAGATGGTAGAGAAATTATTTTGCTTCCCTTGAAATGCCTTTTCACAATTTTTCTGTCTAACAACTGCTTTGGGAAAAGAAATGAAAGAATGAAGATTAAAACACACATATCAAAGGCTCTCATAATTATTTACATCACATTCCTAATAAACTTGAATTTTATCTCTGTTTATCCTACAAAATATCCTGACATGCTACTTCTGCAGCTAAGCTTTTTTTTTTTTTTTAATTGTAGATAATAAAATACAGTTTTTCTACCTGACTCGTTTCTGAATGCATGACTCTGGGAAATGTCAAATGTCTTTCTTTAGCTCCATTCAAATTAGTTTTTTTTTTTTTTTTTCTTCTCCTAAGCTGCCTGGAACATGTTAAACACAAGGCTGTGACCTTAAACTCTGAAATAATATTTCTAGTGTCTGTGCAAAAGCCTGCCCTCACATACACCTTTAGACTAATTACTGCAGTGTAATGTTGCCAGTGAACCGCTGTAATTACACTTGGAGAAAAGTATGGTCTTGTTCTTTCCTAGCTAATGAAAATGATAACCTTTCCATTTTGATTCATCATTCACAATAGGCAGAGCATGCGATGCTGGGTCTCCTGGGTATACAGTAATTTTCCTGACTGTTTATGCACACTGTTTTCTGGCCCTGCAGAAGCTGGAATTAAAGAACGAGGCATACTTACGCTAAAAACAGTCAACAGTAACAACAGCAGTAACATTAAAATTTAATATCATCTTTAATCCGCAATGACATTCTGCAGTGAAATGGGGCCATGACACAGGGATGTGTGTCAAAAAATGATGAGAACATCAAAAACAAGTAATGAGCCTCTAAGTCCAAATTTATTAAAAATGTTAGCCATCAGTTTATGGTCTACTTAAAGATACCTGAGAGAAGATGTTAGACAGCTTTTTCTCAAAGGGGCTGGACTTGTACCTGACCCTCAAATAATGACAGAAACAAACAAACATTATCTTTGGAGTGAAAAACAAGTATTCTTTAGCTATACTTATTAATAGAATTAAATGTACACCATAGGGAAAGAATGTTCCTTTGAATTAGACTATCAATGCCTGTAAATAGCTAATATAGGTTTATCTATTAATTGCCATGAGTATCACCATGATGTTACCTGCTGTGGAATCGGCCGCTCACTCAGAGTGACCCATACACAACAGGAGAAACAATGCACCATCCCCAGGATTGGATGAAAATTAGAATATAGGCAGTCCCCAGGGTATGAACATCCAACTTATGTACACAAGCCAAATTATGAACCAACTCCCCTTAAAGCCCATTATATTAAAAATTTAAGGCACATACAGTGGTTCATAATAACAAGCAGATACTACTTTGCAATGTGCATGAACACATTATTATTACTGTATTATTATGTTAAAGATGTCTTAGTGTATCTGGAAGTGCTCTTTAATGTTTTTTACACATAGAAAGGTATACTACATACTAAGACACAAATTTGACTAACTGATATTAGATAGGAACTGTACCTAACTGCTCCAATTTCCATGCAAATTTGATTTAAAAGACAGATTTAGGAATGGAACTCATTTGTAATCTCCGAACTGCCTGTATTGTGACACACAGGGCTTTCACTGGCTGATTTCTTAAGTAGACAGGCAGGCCTTCCTATTCTTTCTGAGTCTGAAAGCTCCATCAAAACTGTTCAGCATCACAGCAACACAGAAGCCTCCACTGATGGACGGGTGGTAGCTTGGTAGCTACGATGAGGTACACTGGCCAGTAATGGAACTGGGTCTTCCTTGTGGAGGCAAGAATTGTCCTACTGAACCACCACTGCCCCCATATGAGTATCTTACTGACTCTATTATTCCTTCTTCACATTTTAGAAATAATCCAAATGCTAATAAAAACGGCAAAAACAGTTTGGCTTTTCAAAAGTACTTTCTCCCAAAGCAATGATGTAAGAAACTAAGACCAGATCCATGGTGGTTTTGTTTAATCATATCAGATTATAAAATGTCTTCCAACACCAGCCCCCTCGTGCTTTTTCTTCTATTGCTAGCTAGCTAGCTGTGTGTC